GTATTAGGAAGAAATTCTTCCCTGTGAGGTTGGTGAGGCCCTGGCACAGGTTGCCCAGAGAAGCTGTGGCTGCCCCATCCCTGGAAGTGTCCAAGGCCAGGCTGGAGAGGGTTTGTAGGAATCTGATCTAGTGGAAAGTGTCCCTGCCGTGGCAGGGGGTGGGAGTGGATGAGCTTTAAGGTCCCTTCCATCCCAAACCCTTCTGCCATTCAGTGGTTCTGTTAGTCTTGCTGAGGTCAGCCAGCCTAAGGAGCCACTGGGAATGCAGGCTGAAAGATGAGTGCCCATAATTGCACTGTGTAAAGCTCTAAAAAATTGTAATGCATGAATTTTTTTAGAACAGGGATGGAGAGAGGTGCTTCCTTTTATTTTCTCCTGAATAAATGTTACATGTCTTACTTACAGCGTGGTAGAAACCTTGTTCTGCTCTGGCTGCTCGAGGACACTTGGAAACATCTACACGTGCACCCCAAAGCATCTTGACTACAAGAGGGGTTTGTTCTGTTTCAGCGTTGATTCTATTGAAAGGTACATGCAGAATGTTTATGGGGAAGCCTGACAAATCCATTTCACTCACCCGGCATCTCACTGAGGGGTGCTGCTGTTGTGTCTGTGGCATATCCAGATACAGCTGTTTGTGCTGCTCTGTTCCAGAGTGATTTTCTGTATTACTGCTATTGGCATCATAATGCTCAAGAATGAGAAACATCACCTGTGTAAGACAAATCCTAGAAAAAAATGCAATACCCGGGCTGCCTTTTGTGTAAGGAATTGCATACCAGCCAAGAAAATAACACTAGGTACACGGCACAAGAGGGTTCCTTCTCATTTAATCAGAAGAGAGTTTGTGAAACAAGCCTGCAGTCATGGGTAGCACCAAAAAGACCTGCCTATTAGCTGTTAGAGGTTAGCATTGCCAGCAGGAAACGTGGGCAGAGGGCCTTAGGCACAACTTGGTGTGGGGTCTAACCTGTACTGGCCAAGTCTGCTCTGTCCTTGCTAAGGTAGGCAAAGTATGTGCTTGAGACTCTCACTTAGCCATCTTAAAAACTGTCCGGAAAATGAAGGTGTGCTTGGGTTTAATTGGTTTATAGCACTTTAAAGTGGTCTTAAAATGTTCTTCAATAACTATATCCTGAACTAAGGCTGCACACCAGAGTTCTTTTATGAATGCATATGCTCTAGTAAACAGTGATTTTTTTTTTCTGTCTGGGCTAGCTTCAATGTTTCTGGTTTTTTGTTAGGTTCCCATTTATTGTGCTGTATCGATGTGGCTGTTCACCCTCTTACTCTGGACAGTTGTTTCAGGGTTTTTTTCTTCATTCCACAGCTCTGATACTTTGTTTTTCCCATGGCAGTAAAATTCTCTGAAGCACTAACCTGGCCACAAAACGGCACTTTCTTGGGCAATGATGGCTGTGGCTGCTTCTCCCAGCCAGCACTGCTCCATTCTCCATGTCTGTGTAATTTTTTGCTGTATCTTGAAGCCCCAGAACCCATGGCTGTCTTTCGGGGTTCTGGAGCAGCACTGCCTTTGGCTTTTTGCCTTCAGAGTGAGAAGCTCATGATCTAAACTGTGGCATTTCAGCTATATTCTAGGATCCTCAGAAAAGCAAGCTCTTACTGATGAGGAGCCGCTGACTCTTGAAAGTCAAGCTGTCTTGCAAGAGGTGCTGGAAAGGGTAAGATTTAACCTTATATCATTCTTTGTTTAAATCACTTCTGTGAAATCTTAATATCCTTCAATAGCTTCTACAAAACAGTTTATTTCATCCAGAGCAATTCTGTGGGTTATAACGTCTGTTGTACTGCTCCATGCCATTAGGATCTTGTGTTATGCCAGATTTTCAGTAACTTTTCCTTTAATTTTCACAGTAATTGGCATTATCTGTTTATCATTCACAGCATTAGATTCCTGTTTATATCTCAGTAATTTGATATTTCATTCCTAATTAGTTCTGATTCACTTCTCCAGATCTTCACTTAGCTTATAGCCATGTCTCTTTTGCCTCTTGTGCAAATGCTTTTGCTGTAACTTTGTATTGAAATATTACATCATAAATCAAGTTGATGCTTTACTCTACTGAAAACTTGTGACTGCAGGTAGGGAAGGTTGGGAGCAAATACCATAAGGAAGTTGACTGTGGAAGGTGATGGTTGTCCAGTAAAAGGTGAGCGTGTGGCTCTGATGCCAAGGCTGGAAAAAGTTACGGAGCAAACGTTAGAGTCAAGTGAGCTTTCAAACTATGAAAGTAACCGAAATAAAATCAAATAGGATTGGTAATGTGAGATCAGATTTGAGCCCTGTCTGTCACCTACACTTGCTCTTAGTATTGTGAAATTCTGTTTGCAACCAATTCCCTCTCCCTGGTTGTTTTGCAGGCACACACTATATTAAAAGCTCTGGAGACAAGACTGACAGCTATTGAGTCGTGTGTGGCTCCTCTGTCCAAGAAAGTCTGAAAGAAATTACATGTTTAACTGCTGAAGACTGGAGAAAGTGAAACTTGTCCTTGTAATCCTCTGGGATCAGTGGAAACATTGGAAAAGCTGTCAGAGAGCTGAAAGACATGAGTGGCTCATGCTGTAGTGGAACAGTGCTGAGTAAGCATCCTAGCCATCCTAGCCAACCTCTTCTTTCTCTTAAAAGGATACCCCAGATAGAAATAGATTGTTTTTTTTCTTAAGCAAGACTTGTGATAAATCAATCTGTAGACTTCTGGTTTAATGTAAATATTTATTTAAATTTTTCTCTCTGAAAGCAAAGAATTTATCTCCTGACTTCCCTGATATTCAACATCTACTGAACTGGGTGTGCATTTTCCTAAATCAATGCAAAACCTCCCTGTGATGCTGTGATGTCTGAAGGAACAACATTAAGTCACTTTTCGCTATCTTGTCTCCACAGCCTTTGCTCAACTCATGCTCAGAGACAGGAATGGGCCAAAAACTATGGTTTTGTGGTTTGTTAGTTTTGTGAGGTTTTTTTACAAGTTCAAAGCTAAAATGTGACATCAATAAAGGCTTTAACAGCATTAGATAAAATGGCTTTTCCATGCTATAATGCTCCAGTTTTGAAGCTTTAGGCTTAACTGGAAATATTACTTATATTTAAGAATTTTATGTTTGCTTACTAAACTTTTGAAAAGCTTTTAGTTCGTTCTTACTTTGAATTCACATATGGAAAAAACACTGCTATGCTTTCTCTAAGAGAATTTCTTTTAATTTAGTGAGAAAATAAGACATTTTGGCAAAAGGTTTTACAGGGGTGGCATAACCAAGGCATAAGTATTTCACCAAAACACCCAGCACAAAGGCCCAGTTCACAAAAGCATCCACTACAAAACAATCAGTACACCATCTTACTAAAACACAACTCATTAGTTTTAAGTTGCCCACAAGAGAAAGAAAAGACTAAAGGAAGAAAACAAAGAAGTAAAGAAATAGAGAGGAGAGAGGAAGGAGAGAAAAATAGTTACCCCCACGATCTGATGGCTCTCATGGTGGCAGCCAGAAGAGAAAAGCTCTCGTAGGGTCTCGTGCTCCCACATTTATATAGTTTGGTCCTGCCTCCCAGGCGGGATATCCAGTCATTGACCCCTCAGTGCCTTCCAGGCCAGAGTGAGGTGTGGGTAGCCAGTCACAGGCTCCAGGGGTGTGGTGTGGGTGGGCTACCAGGCAGGTCTGCCTTGGCTGACAGCCCGGCCACATGGCTCTTGGAGCTGCTGTGTGTGCTCTCTGGGCTCAGCCGTCCCTGTTGGCTGCAGGCCTGACCATGTGCCTTGTGGCTCTGCCATGTGCTCTCTGTGGGCAGGCCTTGCCAGGTACCTGCAGGCCCAGCCACACACTTACAGCCAGTTGACTCTGACCCACATGAATATATAATTCAGTGAGATTCGAACTCAGTATCTCACAACTGCAGTACTGAAAGTCAGATGTTTTACAGCTTCAAGGGGAGGAAACCAAACGAGGCTGGTGGCAGCACTCCTTTAAGCAAAACTTGGTGTATATTTGAGCCATTAATTCAAAATGCTAACTAGGAATACTTGCCAGCAATTTTTTTTGTTTTAATGCAGATATTTCAGTTATTTGTCTTTGGTCTTCTGTGCATTTGACTAATTGTCAGCATTTCTTGTACAGTATGAGTGTTCCACCTAATGTTTTTCAATAAAAGCAAGCAGCTGTAGTCTAAAGCAAGAGTAATTTCAAAAAGTGGGGGTGTTTTTATTACCCGACACTACTTAATTTTTCCTATTATAAGGTTTTACATTTTCTTCAAAAACTCTGAATTCATTTCCCCATTCTGCCCCCCTGGCAGGCACTGTTTCTCTTAAAAAAGCTTCTGCCCTCCACCTTCACTGGTATATTTTGAAGTGGTGCTCAAGTCTAGCCTGTAGTGATGAGTCTCATATTCTTTTATGCTTATGTAACTAAAAGATTTTGTTACTGACATACCTGCTAGAGGAGCTTTTGTTACTCCAGTGTAATTTTTGAGGCAAATTTCTGCTCTTACAAGTTTTTAAATGCTGGTCAACAGCAACATTCCTTATCCTGGATGCCTGAAGAGAGCCATGGACTGCCCTTTAATTGAAGGTTGGTTGGTGTTAGAGGTGAGAGGTTGAATAACCCAACATTTATCAAACTGGAGGTGGTGTCTAAGTGGGTTCTTGTCTTTGTTCAATTGTGAGATACGTGGCAACCTCCATTGGTTGTTCTTTTGGTTTGGCCATATCCTGGGCCACCATGGTATCAGGTGTTTTACTCTCATCTTTCCCTTTTCCCTGGAAGTGCTGCACCATGCCGAGCAGCTTCCAGGAGGCAGTAACAAAGCTCCATGTGCAACTATGAGCTGCCCCTCCATGGGTCTACCACAACCTTTCTCCTTCACAGATTTCATTATTTTCATGGGGTTTAGGAGTTGTTCAAGGGTGAACTACCATGTTGTTGGAGCAATTTTCCAAGAATTTACCCATATCCTCCCACAACCCATGCCACTTGAGGTTTCCCACCCCCGGGGCGGGCTTCTGGATGCATCCTTGACAATTCCTGGTCCTATCTTCGTATATTAGTAGGCCATAATGGCACAAACTTGCACGCAAAGCCCAAAGAGCAAGAGATCTCTGGCATCTAAAGAGGATTTAAACTTCCCAGAAGCAATTGTAGTGGACACCAAAAGGGGAAATGGATTACGGGTTGGGAAAACATACCCCCCTGTGTTTCTCAACAAGGATTGGTGCCATTATCCTTAAATCCCTGGAGGAAACAGCCTAGGCTAGAGCCTTGAGGACATACTGCAGATGAGACTCATAGGTGGTGAATTTGCAGCGTCATAAACCCAACACATGAACTGGAAAGCAGTTATTACCACTTGGGTCTTACCATTCGAGCTGAAGAAAACAGCCAAGCTGGACAGGCCTCTCGGCATGGCTATGTGCCAAAGAAAAGCTGCTAACTCAGGCAGCATGGGCTCCGAAATCGATACACAGACGGATTACACAAGAGCTGTTATCCCTTTTTCACCTTTCCCGTCGTCGAGCCCCACGTTGGGCCCCAATAAATGTCTCAGTTTAACAAGACAGAAATGTTTGCTAAGGAGGGCAAGATAGGAGAAAAACCAAGCTCCTCCTTTTGAGTAACTATGACTTCGAAATTAGAGGCTCCAGTCGAGAAGGTGCGGAAAACAACAGCTCTTTAGTAAAGAATACGCATATATATATATAGGTAGCACCACAAAACAAGCAGCAGCCCCGTACCCAAACTCCCACCGAAAACAAGGAGCCGCTTTTCGCCCCTCGGCGCAGTTCCAGCCACGGCCAGCAGGGGGCGCTGCCGGGCCCGGGAGGTGCCGGTTTTTGGGAAGGAGGGAGCGGTTCCCGCTTCCAGCCGAGCCCACGCGGCAAAGGGCGGATTCAGCCGCGGCAGCCGGGCCGAGACCCCAGGGCGAGCCCCCCGCAGGGACTGTCTGGCTGTATCGCAGCGCCCGGGGCTCTGGAGGCGGCAGCCGGCAAGGGACGGAGGTGCCGGTCCGTCCAGCGAAAAGCGGGGAGAGGGGGGACGAATGGGAGCTCCTTTGGTCCTCAGCAGCGCCCAGGAGGCGTCCAGGCAGGGGGCAGAGGCGAAACCGGGACCTCCCTCGGGGCTTGAAGTAGTCAAAAATGACCCAGCCAAAAAGATGAACCCCCAAACCAAGCACCTCCCAGCCAAAAACTGCCAGCCTCAGTTTCCCTTCTGGCTGCTGCTGCTTTAGCTAAAGTTACACAGTAAAAATCTACCTTCCTCCTCTGCCTCGGGTAGAGGAAAGCAAGAATCCTGCTTCTTGCAGAGAAAAGTCATCAGTGTTTCAGTGGGATGATCCAAGCCAGGTGAACAATGAAGCCTGAACTTACCCCACCCCAGACAGGCTGCTGGTGTGGAACATTCACCAGGAGCTAAAAAAAACCCCAAACCAACAAACCAAGCAAACAAACAAAAAAAAAAAAACAAACCCAAAACCCCTATGACAGAGTACCTAGAATTTCACAATTAGAAGGGGTAGGTCACGGAAAGCTTTCTATCTTGGCACGCTTCTCTTTTCTGAGCTGTAAACTGCCCAGTTTTGATCTAGGCTGTGAGACTGAGAGTTCGGAATAGGTGAGAAGTGCAGTGCAGCCATGAGTTTGGTATAGTTCTCTGGTTTCTGGGAAAGAGTAAAATCAGCTGTGAGTTTTCCTTCTTGGACATTTGGCATGGGCTCAGCTGCTGGACTCTTTATGGTTAGCAAGTGAGATCTGCGAGAGTGAAGAGAAGGTGACAGTCCATCTGTGGGAGAAGGAAAGAACTGTAATTTTCTACCAGGAGACCACCAATGGAGGTGGTTCCACCTCCAAAAATGATTATTTCTAGGGATTTCTCCCAGAAAAAACATGCCAGGACAGTATGGTTAATACCTGCCATGCACAGCCTGTTATCTGCCCCTGAAACACTAGCCCTACGCACTTTACTTCCTATGGGAAAGAACTGTTATTTCTTTTCAGGAGACCACCACCGAAATTTTGAGTCCACCTCCAAAGCTGAATACATCCAAGGATTGCTTCCAGACAAAAGGAAAGACACTTCTCCAACAGCAGCCAGAACCTGGGAAGGGCTCTACCTAACCACGGGAGACATCATACCTTAGACAAACCACAATGATGAATTCTAGAAATAAAAGCATATGGCTTCCAACATATCTCATTTGAGGTGCAACCCATCTCAGCTTGTGATTATTGAGTACCAAGAATGCCTGACAGGAGAGCAATTCCTGAGCAAGGAGCAAAACATAAATGTTTTTGTTAGGTGAGGCTTTCATCATCCCCCCACCCTGTGTGCCTTCTCTGCTGTCTACTAAAAAGCATGGGCCACTCTCTTGTTCAGTAGAGGTAATAAGGTCCTTTTTATTATTCCTGTTATTGGTTTTGGTTAAAAAAAAAAAACCCAAACCCAAAGGTGGCTGGGTTAAGCATTGTTGAGACATTCACCTTCCCCATCAATTGAGTTTGGACTTACAGGTTCATCAGCTTCTTGGGATGACACCTGGACATACACAAGTTAAAGTTTTCTGGTTTTATGGGTGAGCCAGGACTGATTTATTTCAGAGACCAGAGGAGTCTAAAAATTTTATGTAACTCTTAGCACTCTGAGATTCACACACCATCTGTGTGAAAAATGGACCAGCCCAGTGTACAAGTGTCAGTGATATTCCCCAAACTTCCATGATCCACTATTAACCCAGATCTGGGGAGTCTGTGATTTCTACTGCCTTTTATCCCTGTACCTGTCCCCTGCTTTTTACCTACTACTTTGTTATGAATGCCTTTTTTTATGAAAAAGCCTTTATTATTTTCACATAGTTTCTAGTTGGTTATCCTGTTTTCAAGTGAATGTAATAAATATATGTAAGGTAAGGTAAATATGAGTAGTTAAAATTACAATGAGCAATTATGTAATTATACCAATAGTATTGTAACATCTGCATTTAAACAGATGCCTCAC